CCCTCAGAAAATTGAAGCCGTTGTGGATTGGCCTAGACCAACAAATGTGACAAATGTCCGAAGCTTTCTGGGACTTGCAGGTTACTACCGGAGGTTTGTGAAAGACTTTTCCAAGCTTGCCATGCCATTGACTCAATTAACTCAGAAAAATGTGCCATTTGATTGGAATGAACAAAGAGAGGCAGCTTTCCAAGAGTTGAAAACCAGGTTAGTGACTGCACCAATCTTAACCTTGCCTAATGGTACTGATGGGTTTCAAGTGTACAGTGATGCTTCCTATAAAGGCTTGGGGTGTGTATTAATGCAAAATGGAAAGGTGATTGCCTATGCTTCTAGACAACTTCGACCTCATGAAAAGAATTACCCAACACACGATCTTGAATTAGCAGCTGTGGTGTTTGCTTTGAAAATCTGGCGTCACTACTTGTATGGGGTAACTTGTGAGGTATACACCGACCATAAGAGCTTGAAATACTTCTTCACCCAAAAGGAATTGAACATGAGACAGAGGCGATGGTTAGAGTTAATCAAGGATTATGATTTGCAAATCTTGTATCATCCGGGAAAGGCTAATACCGTAGCAGATGCCTTGAGCCGAAAATCCAGTGCGAATTTGTCATGTTTGCTATCTAACCGAAAAGAATTGTTGACTGACCTAGAACAAGATGGGCTTTTAACTGCTATTGCCCCTCAACCTGTAATTCTTGACGAGATCAAACAGAAACAATATGAGGATGAATACCTGAAAAAGATCACGGAGGAATTTGATTCAAAGCCAAGGCCAGGATTTGTGTTTGAGAATGATGTACTGAAATTTCAGAACCGTCTTTGTGTGCCCGACTGTGGTGATTTGAGAAAACGTGTTATGACCGAAGCTCACAGTAGTAAGTTTGCTACGCATCTGGGGAACACGAAGATGTATCATGACTTGAAGCAGAATTTTTGGTGGCCTGGAATGAAAAATAGTATTGCGAACTTTGTGGCTAGATGTCTACATTGCCAACAGGTTAAAGCTGAGCATCAACGACCCGCTGGTTTGCTACAACCACTCCCAATACCAGAATGGAAATGGGAGCACATTACCATGGACTTCATTGTGGGATTGCCTCGTTCTTCTTGAGGTATGGACTCTATTTGGGTTATAGTTAACCGTTTAACTAAGTCTGCCCATTTTCTGCCTGTCAAAACTATTTATAATGCTGATAAATTGGCCAATATCTATATGACTGAAATTGTGAGATTGCATGGAGTGCCAGTATCTATTGTGTCTGACAGAGACTCAAAGTTTGTATCAAGATTTTGGCAGAGTTTGCAACAGGCTTTGGGGACTGAATTAAGACTGAGCAGTGCCTATCACCCACAGACAGATGGCCAAACTGAACGAACGAACCAAACTTTGGAAGATATGCTCAGAATGTGTGTGTTAGACTTCCAAGGGAATTGGGAGACCTACTTGCCATTAGCCGAATTTGTGTACAACAACAGTTACCATTCAAGCATTGAAATGGCGCCTTATGAAGCTTTGTATGGGAAAAAGTGTCGTTCTCCGATATGTTAGGCAGAAGTAGGTGATAGACCTTTGTTGGGACTGGAACTTGTGCAAGAAACAACCGAGAAAGTGAAACTGATACAGCAGTGCCTGAAAATTGCACAGAGTCGGCAGAAGAGCTATGCTGATGTTCGAAGACGAGATAGGGAAAATGAAGTTGGGGACCATGTGTTCATAAAGGTGACCCCGATGAAGGGTCAAACTCGATTTGATGTTAAGGTTAAGTTGGCGCCAAGATATATTGGACCTTATGAAGTCCTCGAAAAGATCAATCCGGTATCGTATCGGGTAGCCTTACCTCCAGTGATGGAACATATGCATAATGTCTTTCATGTATCGATGCTACGAGAATATTTGAGGGATCCACTCCACGTCATTGAACCGACACATGTGCTTTTGAAAGATGACTACACTTATGAGGAAAGACTTATCCAGATTGTGAATTGCCGGATCAAAAAGTTAAGGAATAAAGAAATACCGTTGGTAAAAGTTGATTGGCAAAACCACGGAGGAACCTATGCAACTTGGGAAACCGAGGAAGACATGATGAAGAGATATCCGGATTCGTTCCCATTTGACCCAATGTTGATTTCGAATGAAGGTAATTCGAGTTTGGAGGACCAAACTCTTTTAAGGGGGGAAGACTGTAATAACCCCGACCTCCGATTAATGCTAAACCATGATTAATTATGCCTAACAGTAATTTAGAAGGAATCCGGAATTAAATTGCATATGTATTGCATCATCTTAGTGTTTTTATATGTTGGCCATAAAACGATCTGTTCATGTTTTATGTTTTAAACTGCGAATTGAAGGCCTTATCGGTGGCCGAATCCGAAATTGATTAGTGTTTTGTGTTAATTAGAATTAATGTGATTTTATGGTAAATTTAGTTGACATTTGATTTGGTATGATTAAATAAAGTTAAATTACATTAGTTTAAGTTAATTAATTAATCGCCATTTAGTAGGCCACTTCTAAGAGCCTTGTTTAAAATTGTTTCACACAACATTTTCAGCCTATTCCCTTGCCAAAATCGACTAGAGAGAGAGGGAGAGGTAGGAGATTGATTTCATCTAGAGATTTTGCTTGGAATTGGAAGAATTGAAGAATAGTGTCATATTTGAGCTTCTAGGCTTGGAATTCAAGACTTAAGGTAGGAGTTTTCCCTTGCAATTGTGAATTTAAGATTAATTCTTGCATGGTTCATGGAAGATTAGAGATTAAAGTCAAGAATTGGTTGAAAATGTTGAATTGAGGCTTAAATCATGCATGCATGTTCATATCTTAGCATTTTGAAATGTTTTCATGGAAATTCTGGCATGCAAGACCATATTCTAGTTATAGTCCATGAGTTCATCATGATTTTGAGTTTAATCTTGCATTTGGTTATATTTTTGGAGCATTGAATTCAATTGAACACTTGCATGTCATGTTCTTTAATAATTCTTGGAAGTTTATTTGAAATTGTGTTCAATTGGCCCACCATTGGGCTTTGATTTTACAAATTGATCTTTGAAACATCTTATACTATGAGTTTGCAAGTGTTTTCTAGAAAATGGGCCTAAGAGGTTAAGTTTTGAGGTGTTGAATGCTTGGTTTGAGCTTGGGAGGCAAATCTGGAAATTTCAGAATTTGGCTTCCTCGCTCGAGCGAAGGATTCCACGCTCGAGCGACCATCGTTTGTTCAGAGCTCCGCTCGAGCGAAGGAATGGTGGCTCGAGCGTAAATTGCAAGCTCTCAGGTTTTTGGTGCACGCAGACGCACGCTCGAGCGACGAGACCTACGCTTGAGCGAAGGGCTATGTCTCACGCTCGAGCGAGCATCGAGCGGGTATCGAGCGTAAAATTTCAACAACCTGTACTTTTGCATTTTTACAGACCGCTCGAGCGAAAGAGTCTACGCTCAAGCGACCCCTCTGTTTTGACAATCTCGCTCGAGCGAAGGAAGCTACGCTTGAGCGAGACCCTTGTTTTCAGCAAGTTTTGAAAAATATTTTCCAAGGCATCTTTGCATCCTCATTCCATCCTAGGCATTCCTAGACCATGTTTAAGACTCTATAGTGAGGATTTAAGGTTAGAAACACACTAAGAACCATCGACGTAAGTTTTGAGTAGGTGATAGACCTTTGTTGGGACCAGAACTTGTGCAAGAAACAACCGATAAAGTGAAACTGGTACAGCAACGTCTGAAAACTGCACAGAGTCGGCAGAAGAGTTATGCTGATATTCGAAGAAGAGAGAGGGAATATGAAGTTGGGGACCACGTGTTCAAAAATGTGACCCCGATGAAGGGTCAAACTCGGTTTGGTGTTAAAGAAAAATTGGGGCCAAGATATATTGGACCTTATGAAGTCCTTTCTGTTACCCGAATCCGGAGGTTCCTTTATGGAACTGGTTATTCGTAACCCCACGTGTGTACGTTCTGTTCTGTTCTGTTAATGCTAATGGATGTATCACGTAAACTTAATCATGACTTATGATTTCTGTCTGTATATGATCTGGATAAACTATGATTTTGATATGAACCGAATTATGATTTCTGAATCTGTACGAACTCATTCATTGAAACCCTTTACTCTCTTATTATTCACTGGGATTTCGCTCACAGTTTATATTATGTATGTAGGTGAGCCGGCACATGACCAGGGCCAGAGTTGACGGCCTTCTGTTTTGTTTTGTCAGCCAACTGTTGCGCCTCCCGAGGAGGTTCCGAACGAAGCCTAATGCCATGGCTGTTTTTGTTTACATGCTAGTCTTTGTATATGTTCTATAAAGTCAGGTCTTGGGAAGTACAATCTGTGTATACCTTGTAAATATTGTGTATCTGGACTGGCATGTTTATGTATATATAAATAAGTTTTAAAATGTTCTGTCCCATGTACGTTATCACAGCTCATTGGACCTTGTCTATTTTGTATTATTGCTTCCGCAGTCCCTTATTATTTGCTAATCTGTTCAGAGGCCTTTGGTAATCCACGGATTACTGGTCGGTTACGGTGCTAAACCCATAGGAGCGGGTTTGGGTCGTGACAACCCTCGAGCTTGTTGCGAAATAGATTGATTAGCGTAAGGTTCTGGGAGGAAGATGTTGGCAAAGGGGTGGGATTTGGGGGTAGGGTAGACGAAGATCTTGAAGCATTTGTTCATTTGGTTGTAGGGGAGAGAGAGAGAGAGAGGAATCATGGGCAAAAAGTCAAATTTCTCTGATATATGTTTAGGGACCTTAGACATCAAAAAAAAATTTTGTGGATCTCTTCCATTATGAAAAGTGGGGGAGGGACCCTAGACTAATTTTCCCTTATTATTATTATTATTATTATTATTATTATTATTGCCATTTGCTAAGAAAATAACTTCAATAACCATAAAGATAATACAATAGTTTTTGACAATATAACCATACAGATCAAGATTCATCACACACAAGACCATCTTCCAAATAAGTCTCAACTAAAACAAAAACAAACAGCCTACCCCACGCACACGCACACGCACACAAAAATGGAAAAATGAAAAATGAAAAATGAAAAAAGGACACAACATATACTAATAAATAGATCATTGGACCAAAAACAAAGACTTTAAGACATCTCCAACGCTCCACCTTTTGTTTCATCAAATTTAAATTTGATGAAAAGAGAAGCCTTTTGCTACTCCAACACTTCAATCTCTCTTTTCCCATTGAAAACTCAAATTGAGTGGGTAAAGATCAGAAGCAGATGTGGAGCTTTCAGTTGAAAACTCATATTGTCCATGGCCTGTCAGTTAAGATACCGTGGCTATGGCTGTCACTCGTGCTGATTTCAGTGCTGTATTGGAACCAGTTATCTGTCTTCTCGGGCTCTATACCATCAATTGAAAAACTTTGAACCTCGGCTTTGCCTTCGAGCATGCTTACCACTGAAGACATTGTAGGCCTGATTGCTGCTGTGGCATTAGTGCATAGCAGAGCTACATTAAGCACCACCATCACTTGTTCTTTGTTGAAATCTGATTCCAACCTAGGATCCACTAGCTCCATCAAATTCCCTTTCTCCTTTAAGTTCAGTGCCTACACACACAGAGGACATCTTATTTTAATGGAAAATGAAAAATTGCAAGCTTTTGATATAGAAATTCAATATCTAAAACGCAATTAGGGGAATAGCCCTTTATCGAAATTGATGTCTAAAACATTCTATTTTATTATTTCAAGAAAACCTAAACATTTCCACACATGAAACATGAGGATGTCTCACGTTTTATACTAAAGGAGATTATTTATGAAAGCTAATTACTATATTAAGATGTTCTATAATTATGAACAGGACCACTCAAATATAAAAGACGTCCAAATAAGAATTAATTAACCAAATAAGTCGATTTTCCCCATCTTTAAGAATTAATATATTTCTTATTGATAAAGAATTGGCCTCCTTTTTATATGCAAACACAAGCATTTCAAAGAAAAATTTCCTTGATATACTTCTACCAATGCAAATAATTAAAACAAGAAACAATATACGTAAGAAAGCAAGATTTATAAGTTACCAACTCAAGAAGATTAAAGGAATCCTGCTTTCTCCTGTAACTACTAGTGGCACTCCTCCCACTTACAATTTCTAAGGCCACAACTCCGAAACTATAAACATCAGCCTTGTCAGTTAAGTGACCCCACATTGCGTATTCAGGTGCCATATATCCACTGCAAGATACAAAATAAAACATCACCATTGTTTTTGTGACATGCTGTCATGTATATATATACCTCTATCAATGTAGCCAATAATATGCACTGCTTTATTTCCACAAGGGCATTTCTAAAATTAGGTCATTGCCTTTGAGGATTTCTGGGGGAAACAAATTATGATACTAAATTTATTATTTTTTTTTTGGGGGAACTTTAGGCAGTGAATTCATCGGTTGCAACAACAATAATCATAATAATGATAATACCAAGAACATTATCAACCAAAAATATAATATAAATAATTCCTTAACAAAAATAAGAATGACAGCTTACAAAGTTCCCACAATCCGAGTGCTTATGTGGGTATTCTCCTCTTCGTCAAGCTTTGCAAGACCAAAGTCGGATATCTTAGGATTAAGATTTTTATCAAGCAACACATTAGTGGCCTTGATGTCTCTGTGGACAATCTTCAGTCTTGATTCTTCATGTAGATAAGCCAAACCTTTTGCAATACCAATACAGATCCTGTTCCTAGTTGGCCAGTCTAGTGTTAACCGGTGTTCTTCAGGGCCTTCAGATCACCAAATGATTAAAAACTCAAAAATATTAATATGCTAAAATATGTGTTTATTTTCTGATACCAAAAGCATGCAATAGAGTGAAGCATGAGGTTGAAATTTACCAAACAAAGCACGAGCAAGGCTGTTATTTTCCATGTACTCATATACTAGCAACAGTTGATTTTCTTCAATACAACATCCATAGAGCTTTACCAAATTAGGGTGTTGTAAGGCAGAAATCATGCCTATCTCATTCACAAACTCGCGATTTCCTTGATTTGATTTGGAAGAAAGCTGCTTCACAGCAATCACAGTGCCATCCAATAAAAGGCCCTTCATTTCAAAACAATGTCAATTACAAATTGTTGAATTACTATTAACACCAGGAAAAAGAAAATCTACCACAAGATACCTTGTACACCGAACCAAAACCACCCTCTCCAATCTTATTAGCAACATCAAAATTCTTTGTGGCAGCTATAATTTGCCTTAAGGTAAATGAACCAGTATGCAGGTCTAGAGCCTTCAGATCTGTGGAAGAAGCTCAACTAGATAAGTAAGCACATTCAATAAAGTCAAGAGGCTCATTCCTAATAATTTGCATTAAAAAAAAAAATTCACCCTCATCTTCTATGCTCAAAGAAATCAAAAAGTCCCACTTGACCTGGATATGTCAAAATAAAGCACTCCCACAATGAGCAAATCACACTTGTATTGCATTAATCCTAATTCCTAAGGTAGTGTTTGCATTAATCCTAATTCATGGGCCTCGCAATGGAAGGACCATTCTCCTAAATTGGTGAATGGCGAGTCTATTTGGAATGTACATTTCTTTCCTTTTTAATGAACCAAACATGGGAATGAATATTTTGATCGAATGACAATTCCATTCAAACCTTTATTCCAGTGAACCAAATACTCGTTTGTATTCTAAAAAAAATTATGGACAATAAAAACTATTGAACCATGACATGTTTACATAATTTATTCGGGTAAATAACATAACAAACATTGAATTTTTTTTTTTTAAAAAAAAAACACCATTGATGGTGAGTATGATAATTATTACTATCATAATTATCCAGAGTTTGTCTAGTTGATTTTAATACCATGTTCCATCGTATTATTGTTTTGTAGACATCCTTTCCACCAAAGAATACCCAGCATTAGGAAGATAGCAAATACTACTCCAGCCACAATTCCAACTATACTGCCTGCAGATATAGATGCATTACTCCCATTCTCTGATGGATCAAAATCTGCATGAACCAAAAACAGATACACCAACGAGATGAAATTGTTAAGGTGATTAATGAATGGGATCCAAGCGAACAAAAAACAATCAAAAAGGAAAAAGGACAATAATTTATTATCCCTTCTCTCTGTTTAAACTTCACATTTTAAATATACAGAAAAACCTCATGTCTACATTTATTAGCTTCCTGGTTTGCCTGACATTGCAGTAAAGGCTTAGATACAACTAAAATAATTCCATTACCATGTACTCACATGGTTCCTCATGTTCAAAAGTCAAAACTCAGAAGGACTTCCACAATTTAAATCACTTTTATTAACTAACAATTGTAAATGAACATAAATGTAAAATCATTTTGCTTAGTTGGAATGTGGAACTATCCCAACAATAACCCCGGCAAAGATAAGAAGGCTGACAAAAAATGACCACATTTTGGCATGAATAAAACCATTGAGATGTCAATTTCTATTTATAGAAGAATGATATCTTGCTGCCTACAAGAAAATTTGTTCCATTGGCAATGTAATCGAAACAAACATAAAGAAGTAATGAAAGCAATTGAACTGTCCTCTTTTTCAACCTTTCACGGTTCAACATCATCAAAATCCATTTATTAGTATTATGGTTTGCCTAACTATTTTAGAAGGCTCTCCAGAAACAACATTTATATGAATGCATCCAATTTTGTGAATCATCAGACATATAAAGGTAAAGAAGTAATCATCTAATGCTAATAGTTGAAATCATAATTGTTATTATGGGAAATAGATATGGGAAACAGAAACGTCAAAAATGGTGAAAAAAAATATTATAGGAAACTAGAAATGATAGGTCATATACGATCGAGTAGAATATGTAAAAGCAAATATTTTAGAAGCCTTGAAATAACAATATAAAGCCTTTGACTACTTTCATACTTGATTAAAATACTAATGCTAAACAATATATGAAGAAACTTGCAAGAACAGTTACATATTGTTGTTAAAAAATAAGCTTTGCACGCATGAAAAATAGAAAAAGTTGTGATAAAAGTGTTTCTAGAAAGTTTTTTCAACATTTCCTAAGAGCTTATGACAAGTTCTTTAAAATTCATGTTGGGTTTGTCTCCTTTCCAGAATCAAGTTTTCATAGAACAAGTTTCATACATCAAAGAGATCTCCTAGTAACTATGGTTGATACTATAAATTGAGGTAATTTGTTTACCGGACATTTAGTGAAAAGGGAAGACTCATTCTAATAAATAGGTAATTCCTACCTAAGCCACAGCAGAAAATATGTTCTCTTATACAATTGAAGCCACGAGTTCTGAAGCAACAAGAGAGAGAGAGAAAGAAATATATAGATATAAGAGAGATGGCAATACAATTGTAAAGTAGTTAGGAAAGCAGTTAGAGTTTGTTGTAACAAACTCTAACCATTTCATATAAATGAGTGTAAACACAATTTAATTTCCACATTGAAAATATAGTTTCAACTTCTGTTATGGTATCAGAGCCTTTACAAGCCCCTACGAGCAAGGTCTAACAATGGTGATTTCATCTTCTTCTTCAAATTCTTAATCTATACCATCAAATCTAAGTCTTCTTCTTACAAATTTCAATTCATTAGTCACTGTTAAGCTTGATTCTTCAAATTTTTTGATTTGGAGAAGTCAGCTTCAGAATGTTCTTCGAGCAACTGCTCTTCTTGATTTCATTACTGGTTTGGTACCTTGTCCTGTATCTGACATTCTTGATTCCTCTGGAACAACTATGTCAAATCCTGAATTTCTAAAATGGAAGACAATGGATGCTCATCTTCTGAGTTTCATCACTGCAACACTCTCACGTTCTATATTTTCTTCATACTTCATCACCAACACTGCTTTCAAGTCTGGAGTGCTCTCGAAAAGAAATACACTTCATTATCTCGTTCTCATAGTCGTCATTTGAAAAATCAGTTACAATAACCACAAAAAGAGGTGCTACAATGGAGGAATATTTTACTAAGATCAAAGAGATTTCCAATCAGCTTCGACTTGCTTCTTCAATGGTTGATGATGAAGATCTTGTACTTCTTACTCTAAATGGATTACGTGATGAGTATGATGCTCTCAAGACTGCAATCCGAGCTCGAATAAAATCTATTTCAATGGAGGATCTGTGCTCTCTCCTATGTTCTGAAGCCATACATATTGAGAACAAAGCCAAACTTGTTCTGCAAAATGAGTCTACAGTTGATTATTCTACAACCAAAAATTCTGAGAATTCCCAACCTTATTCTCAGTATTCAAGGACTCATTCCTGTGCACAGTCTAGTTACAGAGGCAGAATTCCTTCTCGTGGCTTTCGAGGTGGACGATATAAAGGAGGTCGACCAAATCGATCTTACAGAGTAAGATTTGGAGGAACCAGTCCTAGTTCTTCTAATCCTTCTGGTTGCCAGATATGTGGAGGCTTCAATCATATTGCTTTAGATTGTTGGTTTCGTATGGATCCCAACTATTAGCCATCTCAATCTTCTTCATCCTCTATTCCTTCCATGCCTCTATCTAAGGCTTATTTAGGCACAACCAATCCAAATTCATCCAATCAGAATCAAACTTCTTTTCCTACAGATTCCTCTGCTACACCTTGGCATATTGATTCTGCTGCCACAAATCATATCACCAATGACCTTGGAAATTTTCATCTCTATCATCGATACCAAGGACATGATCAAGTGACAGTTAGAAATGGCCAAAATGTTCCATTCAACACATTGGGAAGGGATTGTTGCCTACTCCTCAATATTCTTTTCAACATAATAATCTTATCCATGTTCCTCACATTTCTTCCAAACTCTTATATGTTCATCAGTTAGCTAAGGATAATAATTGTACAATTACCTTTCATTCTAATTCCTTTGTTGTTCAGGTCAATCTTACGAAACAGGTTCTGCACAGAGGTCCTAATGTGCATGGTCTTTACCACCTTGCCTCATCTTCTCCACAATCTCATCCAGCTCATATTGCTCATAGTTCCTCACCGACTTCCTTCCATATTTAGCATCAAAGGCTTGGACATCCTTCACCTCTGAAATTTCATCATATTACTCAGCATATATCCCCTAGTTTTAAGAATAAAGATTGTATTGAATTTGCTTGTACACCATGTAGTGTTGCTAAATTCATAGGCTTCCTTTCAAACTATCTAGCTCCACTGCTAAACAACCATTTTCTCTTGTTCATAGTGATGTTTGGGGACCATTTTCTATTTCTGTCTCTGGTTATAAGTACTACTTGTTGTTTGTTGATGATTTCACCAGACTTTCTTGGATCTATCCTCTTTATGCTAAGAGTGATGTGTTTTCTACTTTTATGGTGTTTAAGGCTTATGCTGAGAATCAGTTCTCTACTTCTTTAAAAATCTTGAGGACTGATAATGAGACTGAATTTGTTAATACTAAAATGCAGGACTACTTTACCACTCATGGTATTGTTCATCACCTCACTTGTCCATATACACCAGAACAAAATGACATAGCTAAGAGGAAGCATCAGCACACCACTGAGACTACTATTACCTTATTTCATGAGTCCTCCATTCCCCTTAAATATTGGTTTGAGGCTATGGCCACTGCTGTCTTTCTTATTAATAGGATGCCTAGTCTTTCTCTTGGCCACAAATCTCTTTTTCAACTTTTATTTGATACCATTCCTAATTATCATTTTCTCAAAGTATTTGGATGCCAATGATTTCCTCGGCTTAGGCCTTAGGTGTCTCACAATCTAGAACCCAGGTCTACTCCTTTTGTGTTTTTGGGTTATCATCCTACTACCAAAGGATACAGATGTTTGGATCCTATTTCAGGGAATGTTTATCTTTCTTGACATGTCCTTTTCAATGAGACATGTTTCCCTTTTTCCCTTCAGTGGACTGATTCTTCCTCTTTGCCTGCTATTCAGTCCCTTTTCTTGTCTAATCCTGTTCTATCTCCTATTTCTAGACCTTCCTCATCTGTTCCTCAGCCTCCTTCTTTTCTGTCTAAGCCTGTAGTTCAGTCTACTGCCTCTGCTCAACCTGTTGCTGCCTCTGCTCAGCCTGTTGTTGTACTTCAGTCTGCTACTGTAGCTCAGCCTGTTGCTGCCATTTACATTGATGCCTCTCCTTACCCTACTGCCTCTCCACCTACTTCTCTTTCTTTTCAGCCACCTCTGTCTACTTCCTTTCCTATTCCCATTTCTTCTATTCAAATTCATTTACCTATTTCCTCTATACTTGCAGCTCCCTTTTCTTCTGCTACCTTAGTCTAAAGCCTATCATCTTACTCATGCTCCTTCTCTTGACCTTACTCTTACTGAGCCCACTAATGCTACTCAGGCTTTGCAATCTCCTCTTTGGACTGCTCCTATGACTGAGGAGTTTCTTGCTCTTCACAAACAAGGCACTTGGAAGTTAGTCTATCTTCCCTCTCACAAAACTGCCATTGGTTGTAAGTGGGTATTTCGTATGAAGAAAAATTCTGATGGAACCATTGCCAGATACAAGGCTCGGTTAGTGGCTAAAAGCTATCTGCAACAAAAGGGTGTGGATTTTCAAGATACCTTCAGCCTGGTTGCCAAACAACACACAATTCGCGTTCTCCTCTATCTAGTTCTTCTGCATCAATGGCCACATAAACAACTTGATATATCTAATGCTTTTTTGCATGGTACACTTGAGGAAGAGGTCTACATGGTTCAGCCACAAGGTTTTATTGATTCAGCATTTCCTCATCATGTTTGCAAGCTTCAAAAAGCTCTATATGGTCTTAAACAGGCCCCTCGCGCTTGGTATTTCACATTTTCTTCATTTTTCCTTGGCCAAGGCTTCAAGCTTAGTTCCTGTAACTTTTCTTTGTTTGTCAGACACACTTCTGCTCATATTACCATTTTACTCATCTATGTTGATATTTTACTAACTGGTAGCGATCCTTTGGTCATTCATTCTCTCATCACTCACATGCACACTGCTTTCTCCATGAAAAACACATTGAAATGGATTGCCATTTTATTAGGGAACAAGTTGTTTCTAAGCAAATTACTTTATCTTACATCCCTACTGCTGATCAACTGGCTGATATATTCACCAAGCCCTTAACCTCTTCCAGGTTTCATTATCTCATAGACAAACTAATGGTTCTGCCTAATCCCATTACTTTGAGGGGAGATGATAAGTTACCTAAGCCACAGTAGAAAATATGTTCTAACAACTAAAGCTGCGAGTTCTGAAGTAACAAAAGAGAGAGAAAGAGCTGTATAAATATAAGAGAGATGGCAATACAACTGTAAAGTAGTTAGGAAAGCAATTAGAGTTTGTTATAACAAACTCTAACCATTTCATTTAAATAAGTGTAAACACAATTTAATTTCCACATTGAGAATATAGTCATGGTTTAGTACAATCGATGCATGACGCAGATAAATATGAAATTTGTTAAGTTGGTAATGGCTAGATGAGGTCAATCTCGAATCATTAACACAAGAAAAAAGAAGGTAGTAGAAGTTGTACAACTTACTAGGATTCACAGAAATGGCTGAAATAAGAGGACCGTATACTCCTTTGTAAGGGATCGAGGTTGTCCCTCTTCCTGCCCAATAGAATCGTATATCTAATGTGTTTTTAGTCACATTTGCTGTAAATTTTTTTATGGTTTCCATATCAACCCCACCTGCTTCATGTTCAATATTAAAATCCTTCAGCACCCGCTTTCCCTGCAGCAACTTAATCCAATCACAAAAGAACACCATATGCTGAAGGTAACTGTTTAAATTTACTTTGGCAGGGCTCTGCTATGTTAATCTTGCCAAAAAAAAAAAATCATTTCTTAGAGTAATCGATGAAAAATCGAATGCTAAAATACTTGGCGATTAAGACGGGCATCATCTCCTTTAAGAGTACCACTTCAAAATCAGTTAACAAAAATATAATACGAGAAAAAGAAACCTTTCTACCTCAATTTTATGGGTGTGAAAATCTAATGTTACCTGAATGTAAACATCAAATATGCGTCTTCCAAGGCTGGCATATGTTTTATCATCAGTAAACATGATCTCTGCAAAGTGAAGGCTTACAGTATAGTATCCATTTTGTAGGCAGAAACCATAGTAAGTCAGGGATAGGGGAGAAAGCCGTGCATTTATGTACAACTCGGAATTCTTCATAGAGAGCCTCGAAGTATTTGTCCAAATGTATGCCTTTAAAGGGCGATGATCAAATAGAAAGTCACCAGTGCTACTAAATGCCCAATTAGTTTTGCTTATGAAAAGCCTTGAAGGCCCTGCTGAATTTGTATCTTCTTCATATGTTTTTCCATCAATAACTACTTCACTTCCACCACAATTTATATGGAAGGAGGACCAATCTGACATAAAAACGTAACCAGATACCTTTCAACAAAGTGAAATAAATAGAAAGATCAGAAATAAAGAAATCTAGGAAAGAATTCCTTTTACATTTTAATCTAAAGACACTCATCACGTTTTTAAAAATCTAAGTACATGCAATCTACAGCTTCTTTAAGCCATCATTTTTGCTACACCTTGTAACAAGTCCAATTGAATCACAACACCATATTTTCAGTTTCCAATGCCTAAGTCTGTAAGCCTTAAAAATAGGTAAATGCTTTAGAAGGGGGATGATAAGTCGGTGGTAACAAAAAAAAGGAGAAGAAGAAGAAGAATATGACCCAGAGTTAACAAGTCAAATTATCAATAAAATGAAATAAATAATATTTCTACTTACTTCGTGGACAGCGAGAGCCATGATCGCAAGAAAGAATTCCACTGACAGAACAACATGAGATCATGAACCAATCAGCATCATATCATATTAGAATATAGGTCAGATAAGAATGAAATGAACTGAAACACTGCCTAAACATATTACGAAAGCAACAAAAAATATTATGGATGAATTTCTTCAGAAGTTACAGAAATTTACGAAGCATTGTCCTCTGAAGAGCTTTCAAACAAGTTCCTGTAGAAAATAGAGGAAGTGAAAAGTTAAGATGGTGCACACAAGATTTTAGAGAGATTATAATAGTTATAAAATAAGATAAGAGATTCTTACACATTTTCTTGGCAAATTGAATTCCTTGTTGAGCTAAAGTTGTTATATGAAAGATCACTGCACATAGAATGCACATTGAGATTCATCTTATCTTGAATGCAATATGGAAGTGATGTAGGCCGAAAGGTACCACATTGAGGCCACTTAAGTTATATTTATAGTCTTTGAATTATGATTATTTGGCAAAGATGATGTGTTTTGTGTAATTGTGCAGATTTGGCAATCAACACGCAAATTTAGGCAAAAAGTGGAACAAAAGTAGATTCTCCGCGCAAGAAATGAAATTTCTCGACCTGCCATCTTGCCACACATGCGGCATGACCTAATTGCACATGCGGCCGATAACTGCTCGAGCAGAAAATATGGGCGCTCGAGCGGCCAACCTAGGGACACATGCGTGAAATTTTGACTTCGTCTGATTGGGAATAAAAGAGGAAAAAGGAGGCTGGAATAGGGTTCTAAAAATTTCCAAAAGATAAAAGGAGTTAGGGTTTTGAAGAGAAGGGTTTCAAACTTCAAGAAGAATCTTCGATGGTGGTTTTCTCTTCCTCTACCTCTTCCCACTCCTCCATGAGTGGCTAATTCTTCTATTTCTAGGATTTTGATAAAACCCTAGCCAAGTAAATAGGTTTTCCTTTTGGTTTTTGATTATGTAATGATTTGAACAAGTTGTATAGTGTTCAAGAAATTTGTAAATATATTTTCCAATATTTTCTTTAAGTATTCTACATTTTGTGATTGTTGAATGCTTTCCATGCAATGGTTTTCTTTTCTCTCATATTCAAGGTATGAGGTGAGCCATACTACGAGGGACGAGTCGTGTTGCTACCATAGTTTAGAGCGAATGACTCGTGCTACTTGAGATGATTCGTGCCTATACATTGAACGTGATCATTCTCTTGATCAATGTTTCGAACTTGTAGTTGTGAAATATTATTTGATTCGAACCATAACATAATTGATTTCGAAATTAAGACCTTATTTATGTAGCTAGTGGTGAATTTATTACCCTAGGCTTTTCCAAAAAATCAGTATCTCCAACTTCAATTTTAATTGCTAGCTTAATCTCTTAGTTTCTTTTAATTATTAGTACTCTATAAACAATCATCTTTTTTATCAAAATTAATTTAGGAATTTAACAATTAAATTAGTTTAATTTCACATTTGTCACTGTGGATCAATACCTGGACTTTCCATTATTGTAAGGAATTGGTACAATTTAGTATTTATTTTTGGTGTGTAAAACGACCCATCAAGAAGTAAAAACTAGGTTTCATGCATGCTATTTGGAAGTGAAGTTCAATAAAAAAAATTACTTATCTTAGCCTTTTTTTGTGGGTAAGCCGTAACTGTCTGACAATCCAACAATAGGACTTTTGTTTCAACTAGTTGTTAAAGAGTCTTAAGACATGCATCTAGAAGTTAATTTGTTAATCTGCTCGTTGCATAATTTCTACATCTACAACTCCAATCAAGAAAAATTCTATGACACATCCATGCCTACAAACATTGAAATGGTCAATTTTATTTTTATTTTTCAATTTTTTGTTTTAGGTAATTGTGCAATAGAAAATGGAAAGCAGAATTATTTTTCACCCCATGCTGGAAGGCTAGGAAGCAGGGATACGGATACGGGATACGGGTACGATACGATACGGATACGGCCATATGTCAAAATTCGAAAAAGTAGGATACGGATACGGCGGGGATACGTTCATAAAAAATATTTTTTCATAATTTTTAGTAATGTAACATACACAAAAATAAAACTTCAACAATTTTTAGTAATGTAACATACATAAAATAAAACTTCAACAATTTTTAGTAATGTAGCATACATAAAAATAAAACTTGAAACAAAAGACAATATAATGTAGCATCACCCATAACAACCATCATGCATCACCCATAACAAAAAATTCATCAATTCAATTAAATTTCAACAATTTTAACAATATAGCATCACCCATAACATCCATAATGCAATTCAATCCCAAATTAAGGGAAAAAAATTTACAAAGTTCATTTATTTATCAATAAGTTTATTTATTTATTTATTAATAATTTTTTTTTACCTTATTTGATTTATTAATAAGTGTACAAAGTTTATAATTTTATAAGTTGACAAATTTTATTTTTAATAATTTTATTTATTTATTTATTTATTAATAAGTTTTTTTACCTTATTTTATTTATTTATTTATTAATAAGTTTATTTATTTTTTTATTTTATCAGATTCAATAAACCGAATATATAAGTTTTTTCTTTTTTTTTAATATCTTACGTGATTTGCAGAGTCTACATATAAAAAATAAAAAAAATTAAAATAATACAAATAAATATGCAAACAGACATAGGTAAGGGAGGGGGAGAGACGGATCGACGAATAGGAGGGGAGATGAGATCGACATCTTGAACCACACAGACAGATCGAGCGAGATCGAGAGGGAGAGGGAGAGAGACAGAGTTCGTGAGAGGCAGACAGAGGGAGCGAAAGGGAGAGAGAGCGGGACGAACCTGATCACGAACCTGATCGACGATCGGCGAGCTGCTGTTCGAGACGATCGGCGAGCTGCTTCTCCTCCTCCTTCGCGGCTGCGTCGAATACCTAGGTAAGAGAGAGTTTGGTTTATTATTTCTTCTTTTTTTTTGTGTTTTATTTCATCTTTTTTTTCATATTTTACAATTTCACCCCATTTTAAGTTTTTTAAATTATTTTTTTGCCCCCACCATATCCTGACCGTATCCTCGCGTATCCGAGACGTATCCGAAATTCAAAAATTAAAAAAAAAATTGGATACTTCATTTCCCGTATTTGATACGTATCCTCGCGTATCGGGCGTGTATCCGTATCCGATACGCGTACGTGGCCTATTTCGGAGTATCCGTGCTTCATAGCTAGAAGGTGTTAACTCAAAAAATTTACTTGCATTTTGAAGATTGAAAAGATAAACTTGAATGAAAAGTCTTGTTCTTTGAATCCTATTATTCTTTTTGGCCAGACCTGTACTATGCTAACATGATCAGATCATCAAATTCTAGATAAGGAGATCTGTTAAGGGCTCTGAACTTGTTACGCATTGGACATTACAATGAAGCACATAAGTTTTTCACATTGTTGCTGCTTTAATTTAAACATATAAATTAGCATAACACCCCCAACTTAAAAGAATATATTAACCATCTATGCATTTCAACATATATGTGCCTTTTTTGGGGGGGATAAATAATCATTTATTTGGTCCAATATGCTATTGGAAGTTGGAAGTAGGTTTTTAGGCAAAATAGAAAACTGTTGTTTGCCCAAGGATTAAGAAATGAACTGTAGCAAGAAAACTGCCCTTTTAAAATTGAGATGGCCGACCTGGGAAGTCAAATTGTTAATGGATGATCAAATTCTAAGTTAAGGGGCGTTGGAAGTCAACTTGTTAAATGGGGCACTCGCATAATATCTGCACTCTTTTTCCTTTTTTTTCTTCACGGTAGTGTCATCAGATTATCAATTCCAAGAATGCATAGTATTAATGAATGACCACAATTACAGTTACTTAGTAATAACTGCATTGAACCACAATGTGAGGTATGGATTGAAATAAAGCCCACAAGGGCAACAAGCAATGACCAAAAGTAAGGTGGATTAATGATTTACTGCATGAGCAGATTAGACAACTTTACATAACACTAACACTTTTATTAAGCGCTTTGGAAGAGAAACTTACACTTTGAGGTTCAGCCCACGCAGCATCCAGTCAGGCACAGGTCCATTCAGCAAGTTACCAGTTAAATAACTAAACAAATGCGATATCATTAATTAGTCTGGTCATGTAGATTTCAGTAACAAGAGCATCAGTATTGTGACAACAGCCATGAATCTCACAAAGTTTTGGGATGGCACAAATTCTGAGGTTTTCAAAAGTGATCACACGACATTTGCACCCTCAAACATTACAAAACTGAATTTAAATCCCTAAAACAACACAAAATTGAATTTAAACCCAAATTTGACATTTTGAAGTGGAAACTAAAGAAAATAGAGAAGATGTTTTCTTTTCAATAATAAAATAGAAGCTACAGCAGTCCTTTTATACAAGTGTGATACAGATTTAACCTGAGTTATAACTATCTAACCATCTTGTGTTACTTGTTCTAACAATATAACAGCTTTGATTACTATCTCTAACAAACTAACTATCTCTAACAAACTAACTAATTACTATCTCTAACAAACTAACCAATTATACATGTGCAGGACAGCAGTTGCAGGTACAGAAGTTGATAGCTGAGCTGGTTTGAGCTTCTTGAACTATTTGATCTTGAGACTTAGCTGGAGACTTAGTAGCAGCAGCAGAGTCTTTATCAGTCCCCTTCAAACTCATAGGACTGGGAAGGACTAAGAGTTTGCTTTGAAGATATTGAAAGCGAGCCACTGAGAGAGGTTTAGTGAATATATCTGCGATTTGATCAGCAGTCGGAATATAAGCAATGTGGAGAGTTTGAGCAGCAACCTTTTCGCGAACAAAGTGAAAGTCCACCTCAATATGCTTGAAGAGCACCTACCAAGCTTCGATAAAGAGAAGGTTGAGCAAAGGGTAGAACATCTTCAGAAGAGGAAATGGAACCTTTAGCAGCCATAAGAGACGAATAAGGTTTGCAATTTTGCATGCCAGCTTTGGCCAAAATATCTGAGGCATATTTGGATTGAGAAAGAACATAACCTGAGGAAGACATGAGGACAGAAATGCCTAGAAAGTAATTAATAAAACCAAGTTCCTTCATGGAGAATGTGGCATGCATTTGCTGAATGAGAGTGTGAATGTAATGAGGATCACTACCTGTGAGGAGAATATCATCGACATAGATGAGAAGAATAGTGATGGAAGTGGAGGTCTTGTGAACAAACAATGAAGAATCACAGTGACTGGTAACAAAATTTTGAGAAAGAAGAAAGGTAGAAAATGTAGAAAACCAAGCTCTAGGAGCTTGTTTTAAACCATAGAGAGCTTTATGTAACTTGCAGACAAGAGAAGGGTGAGTGGAATGAATAAAACCTTGTGGTTGAGTCATATACACTTCTTCCTCTAGAACACCATGTAAGAAGGCATTGGAAATATCAAGTTGTTTAATGGACCAGTTATAGTGAAGAGCAAGACAAAGAAGAACTTTGATAGTGGGCTGTTTGGCCACAGGACTAAAGGTTTCAAAATAGTCCACACCCTCTGTTTGAAGAAAACCTTTGGCTATGAGTCGAGCCTTGTGTCTAGCTATGGTGCCATCTGAATTTTTTTTGATTCTGTAAACCCATTTGCACCCTATAGCTTGTTTGCCAGAAGAGAGAGACACCAAAGACCAAGTGCCCTGTCGTTGGAGAGCTGCATATTCATCTAACATAGCATGTTGCCAAGCTGGAGAAGCAACAGCCTCTTGGTAGGATTGAGGTTCAATAGCAGCAGCCGAGTTAGGAGTAGAAGCAGTAGTGAAACAAGTGGGATTTTTAGCCTTAGACCTGGTAAGCATAGGATGAGTATGAGTGGGAAGATGAGGAAGATCAATGATGATAGAAGAGATAGGAATTTGAGATGTAGAAGGAGGAATGGACACAGAAGGAGTGGAAACAGACTTTTGCTGAACAGTAACAGGTGGGAAATGAGGCAGAGCAGGTGATGGCAGATCAGGTGATGAGGGCAGATCAGGTGACTGCTGAGAGACAGAACAAGGTATTTGTTGCTGCTGCCGAGAGACAGAACAAGGAGGATTTTGCTGAGAAACAGAAATAGGAGCAGAAGAAGATGAAGGTAAAGTAGAGGGATTAGGAAATTCTGAAGCAGAAGAAGAATGAGCTGTAGAAGGCAGTGAAGCAGACTGCTGGTCTGGAGAAGCATGCCAAAAGAAATCAATCAAAGTAGGAGAAATTGTAGAAGGAGGTTGAGATGACAACTGAAAAGGAAAGGATAATTCATCAAAGACAACATGTCTAGAAATATACACTGTCCCAGTTTTAGGGTCAAGACATCTATATCCTTTGATAGAAGGTTGATAACCAATGAACACACAAGGGATAGACTTGGTTTGAAGTTTATGTGATGTATAAGGCTTAAGCCAAGGATAGCATCTACAACCAAAAGTCCGCAACAGCTGGTAATCAGGCTTTTGGTTGAATAACACTTCATAAGGAGTGAGATTATTCAATTTAAGAGTAGGATGCCTATTAACAAGAAAGACGGCTGTAGCAAGAGCATCAAACCAATAAACCAAAGGCAAAGAAGAGTGATGCATGAGAGTGATAGTGGTTTCTATGAGATGCCTATGCTTTCTCTCAGCAACACCATTTTGAGAGGGAGTGTGAGGACAAGACAATTGATGGTCAATTCCTTTTTGTTTGAGAAAAGCTTGAAAAGCTTTACTGAGATATTCACCCCCATTGTCACTCCTTAATATCTGAAGTTTAGTGGCAAACTGAGTTTCAACAAAAGCTTTGAATTCAAGAAACTTAGCAAACACTTCACTTTTATAATGGAGAGGGAAAAGCCAAGTAAATTTACTAAAATCATCAATGAAGAGTACATAGTATTTAAAACTAGAAACAGAAGCTGAAAAGGGGCCCCATACATCAGAATGAATAAGGGCCAAAGGTTTATTGACAGTTGTATTAGACAAAGAAAAAGGCAACCTATGGCTCTTGGAAACACAACAATGTTCACAAAGTGGAGAGCCTTTATTTCCTAAAACAGAAGATTTAGAAACTAAGTTATGATGAGTTAAGATGTGATGCAACTTCTTGGAAGAAGGATGTCCAAGTCGAAAATGCCAATTGGATGTGGTGGCAGGAGATGTAGCAGTAGCAGGAGAGCAAGAAAGGCAGTGTGGGCTTGAAACAGCAGCAGAAAATGAAGACACAGCAGTAGGTAAAGGAGATGACACAGCAGCAGGTGAAGATGAGATCAGAGGATAAAGTCCTTGAGAATAGAAGCCTTTATACAGAATCTGCTGTGTAGTCTTGTCCTGAATAAGAAAGGAATGTTCATCAAAGGTAACAGTACAATGGTTATCTTTAGTTAGTTGATGAACGGAAAGCAAATTGGAGGAAAGAGTAGGAACATGAAGCATTTTGTTAAGATGAAAGGGAAATGAAGGTGTAGGAAGTAGACCTTTACCAATATGAGCAATAGGAAGAGTGGATCCATCACCAATGGCTACCTGTTCATGTCCTTGATAAGGTTGATAGCAGGAGAGATGATTAAGATCATTAGTCACATGATTAGTGGCTCCAGAGTCTAAAAACCAGTTGACATCAGTGCTAGATGATGGAGCAGATGCTATATATGCTTTAGAGTGATTTGAATGTTGTGAGGGCAGAAAACCAGGAGGCTGTTCAGTCTGAAAAGCTGTGTCCAACCGATGCCAACAGTTTATGGCAATGTGATTTGACTTGCCACAGATTTGACAGATCACTGTGGAAGAAGGAGGAGAACTACCGGCAGGTGTATAGCTGGTGCTATTGTAGCTGTTATAGCCTGGTTTACCCCTCTGAAAATTGCTAAAGCTAGTACCTCTCTGAGAAGAACCATAGTGATGAGCTGGACCTCCTCGAAACCTGCCTCCATCGCGGCCTCTGAAATGACCGCGGCCTCTGAAAGTTCCTCTATGGCCTCCTCTGGTAGAAAAATGACCTCTGTGGGTGTTATAAGCAAACAATCCTGGAGTTTCAGCTGCTTGTACATGCTTAAGAGAAGCCTCTACATGAATAGATTCAGAACAAAGTAGAGAGCACAGTTGTTCTAAAGAGATAGGACCGGATCTAGCACGTACAGTAGTCTTTAAAGCATTGTATTCATCAGGCAAACCATTCAAAATTAGAAGAATAAGATCTTCATCCTCAACAGGGGAAGATACTAAAGCAAGTTGATCAGCAATCACTTTGAAGTGATTCAAATAGTCTTCCATTGTGCCTCCTTTCTTAGTGATCTTACTCAATTTAGTTTTTAGCTGATGTATATGAGACCTAGAAAGAGAGGTAAATCGTGTGGCCAGAGTAGTCCAGACTTCATGACTTGATTGACAATGAATTACAGTAGTGAAAATAGAAGGAGATAGTGTAGCAGTGATGCAACTTAGCAGATGTGCATCAATAGTATTCCACAGCGTATAAGCTGGATTCAAGACTTGAAGATTCTGTGAATCAAGCACAGAGGATGAAGGACATACCTCAGATCCATCAACATAACGAAGAAGATTTGTTGCCTTCAAAATGTTTTGAAGTTGATTTTTCCACACTATGTAATTTGAAGAATCAAGTTTTGTAGGAACAAATGCACTGAGATTGGAAATTAACAAGGTCAGATTTGAAGGTAAGGATGAAGAAATAGAGGAAGAAGAAGATGAAGCTGCAGCAATGGTAGAAGCCATTGATGAACTCTTTAGATGCTCGTGAGAGTCAAGATGCTCTGATACCATAAAGAAAATACAGAAGATGTTTTCTTTTCAATAATAAAATAGAAGCTACAGCAGTCCTTTTATACAAGTGTGATACAGATTTAACCTGAGTTATAACTATCTAACCATCTTGTGTTACTTGTTCTAACAATATAACAGCTTTGATTACTATCTCTAACAAACTAACTATCTCTAACAAACTAACCAATTATACATGTGCAGGACAGCAGTTGCAGGTACAGAAGTTGATAGCTGAGCTGGTTTGAGCTTCTTGAACTATTTGATCTTGAGACTTAGCTGGAGACTTAGTAGCAGCAGCAGAGTCTTTATCAGAAACCTGTTAGAATATTATGTTAGA